TTGCGCGCACGGTTCACCGTAGAATTCTCAAAACGTCAGTTGCGCGTTTGAAAGAACCGGAATAAACTTGACGTCAATAAAAGCTTGTCTCCGATGTAGCTTACTTGAAAACAACAAACGACAGACGAAACATGCTTGCGAGTGCAAGAAGTAACGAACCTTTTGATGAAAAAGGACTCTTACATTATCAAATTAACAACAAAGAGGTCAGTAAATCTTTTTCGAAGTAGCGTTGAGTTTGAAACCTTTCTAAACGTGAACGTAAAGACGATCGACGATTTTTTTTCCCTGACATCCTAAATCAAGAAGACATTCAGTATAATAAAATAAATAGTGCCTGTTTTGGAGGGTAACAGTTGAAATTGACACCCCATATACACCATTTATATATTGTTAATTTTTTGTAAAAAAGAAATATCCTTCTTATGATAACTGCGTTCTTAAGGGGGATGTACAAGCCATATTGGATCAAGTCTGGTGTAAAATAAGACATACCAAGAATGCGCTTAATACTCTACTAAACTAGCCCAAAGCTAGACAAAGTGCTAATGCACTCATTACCTACTGTTAGAGACAAAAATTAGTAAAATAATTAAGTTTATTTTGTTTAATTACGAGAAAATTAATCACGTTAGAACTGCGCAGCTACAGCATACACGAGATGAAAAATGCATTGAAAATGATGTCAGTTGGATTCATTGATAATATGGCTACAACCATTTGTTTCGCTTTTTTCTTGTCATTATCCATAATTCTTGAAAATTTGATTTTTCATATGGGAGTCTTCCTGAGGCCATGTGTTTATTTCGTCCGCCATTCCTCTCTCACACAGAGTTTGAATAACATTGATTTTAGAATAAATGCGACCATAATAACATCAAGACAAGAAATAACTAAGTTATAATCATTAGATTAGATAACTTACTACTTTTATTTGTTCCATCGCATCGTCTGATTAACGAAAAAACGCGATTTTAACCCCACTCCACCAAATCGGGAAAAACAGTTCTGTTTAAAGCTCGAGTTTCTTCGTTAATATCATTCCACTGAGCACGTGGTTGGCATGTGCATATATCTGCTGTGGATAGATGCGTTTATTACCATGATTATATTTAATTTTTCATGGAACAAGTCTTGATAATTTGTTGGTTTCTTTAAAACTCAGGAAAAAAGATAAAAAAAATGCCCTAAACATATGCGTTTACGGCGGGTCTCTTTTCTGTGGCGATAGAAGTTATTTTCAAATGAGGCTCTGCAAGGAGGATGCTTATCTTTTAGTTTGAAAATGTGAAACAATATGCGGTGCATGAAAAACAAATTGTAATTACATGTATTACATTCGAAAAGTTGGTACATATGTCTATTTTGTTTAGCAGTTAGATAGAAAAAATAGGCAGTTATAGGATGTCCTTCAGGCACCTCAGATAAATAGCTAGATTGTTTGCGATGACCCACACACTGTATGGAGTAATGTTTGGACATAAAAACACATCATGTCTCATTACGTTGACAACGTTGCAATATTAAGCTCTCACTCATTGAACATACGAAGTTTGATAAAATATATTGAGTTGTTTCTTTGAAATTTAGAAGCGAGCACAATGTTTGCAAAGAAAGGTCCATTGCATATGCTATGTCTATCTTCGCAAAAAAAAAAAGGAGTGAGAGGCTACACCCCCCCCTCCCGGAAAATCCTATGTTTGTTTTTCAAAATAAATGTAGTGCTAAAGCCTCAAATATTTTGCATTACTAAGTATGTGGTGGAACATGTACTAGCCTTATAAGACCACTTGTTATACAAAAAAATTGTCTGCCCTCTCTCCCGACCTACTGCCTAGAAATGGCCCGACTCAATTTTTTTTATATCCCGTTACACGATTTTTTTTTTCTTTTTCTTCCGTCGACAAATATGTTTAAAGTATAAGGATTTTTTTCTCACCTATAAATACAGACCCATTAATTTTCCCCTGATTTGGGAGAACCACCAAACGTCATTTTAAAGATGGTCTAAAATATTGAATTATGTAGTTTTTTTTTCCTTTACTCTGTAAAATTGTAATTTTGACAATATGGGCAAACAAAAGAAAATCATTCAGTAAATCTCCTAACCCACTCTGAATGATTTCATTCCTTTTCAAATATTGCTCTGCTGTAATGAAAAGTGTAAATGTTTATTTGACACAGTATACGAGGGGTGATCAAAACGTAAACGATATCTTAGGTATTTGATAATTATATCAGTGTTGAAATATTCAAGTATTTCTCAAAGTGTAAATTGGAGGTCTTTAATAGCAAATTGTTTAATTAAAAACACATCCCTTTTCAAACTTGCTTCACCGGGCAACATAACAAGTATCATATTTAACCATCCACCTTCCTTCACTAAAACGATCTATCCAATCATTGATTGAAATTATAGGAAGTCATTTGTCTTAATAAACTGTGAACAAATTCTTATACGCTATTTCAAAGGTATTTCTAAGATATACCATTAATATTACAGTCGTTTGTTGAACGAGTTCTACGGAGACAACCATTTTTCGTCACAAATGACCTGCATAGTGACGTCATTTTCACATTGTGACGTCACAAACAAGGAGCAAAACTTTATTCAGCATAAATTATGTTATTTATAGAACTTGTGTATGGCTATGTGTGTACCAAGTTTGTTTCTAATCTGAATTGTGGTTTTGTAGATATAGAGGTAGTTCGCGAACTTTTCAATCATCCCTCGTACTAGTAGGTACTAAAACAAGGTCATTCATATCGATTTTATGTATTTAATTTTCTTTGTGTTTCATTGGTGATAATTAAAATTTTGATAGATAATATATATATGTTATCTGTGGAAGACTTACGAACTCTTAATTTTTAACTTTGATGGTGCTCATTTTTCCTTACCTGGAATCAGAAAAGCTGCAAGAAAACATTTCCAAATTTTAATTTTTTTTTTAAATAAAATTCTGTTTTAGTTTGTTTTCAAAGTAAATCAAACATATATAATTTTCTTTCTGTTGTTGTCACTGCACTAAAAGTGGTCGAACAAATCTCCCTTAAAACATGAATCTGATTTTCAATACTCGTTTCATTTCTACAAAGGAAATAGTATTGTTATTACTATACGTACAATTTATTCATTTAAGTTATGACGATTTTATTCATATTTTAACTGAAAAAATAATTTTGTTGTGGAGCCTTTATGAATCTGTTTTTGATATATAAAATTATTTTCTTCTAGAAACATTGCTCCGTGATATAATATTTGTTTCCATTCATATCTCGCCATAAATAAATCAAATATTTCAAGAAAAACAAATATTGATTTCTTGCTCAGTATTTAATAATACTTTTCATTTCAATTGAAATGAAAACAATGGTTTAAAGAATTCGTTAAAGTTTATTCATATGCGACTCAACAATAACAATAGACTGATTTTAAAAGCTGCAAGAACACATTAATTTTCCAAATTTTAAATTTTTTTAAAATAAAATTCTGTTTCATTTTGTTTTCAAAGTAAATCAAACATATGTAATGAGATCATAAGATTGATATTTAGACACCACACAGGATAAATCGGTCATATATCTACAAGATTCGATTCAAAATTTTAAAAAAAATCCATTAATGGAAAAGTGTGACTAATGGAATCCTTGAACATTTGATTCACAAGAACACTAATATTAACACAGTTGTCTATATTGATATGAGAACGCGCTTCAGGTCGATAGCAGCATCACAAAAAAAAGTCAAGTCCATCAAATACTCGCATTAAAGAAAAAAAACAGACAGAAGTATTTGGAATAAGATTATGCTACAGGGAATTAACGTTTCTAAAACTACAGGAAATAAACTATTTTTCTGTTTCCTTATTTGTGTATAAATCGAAAGTGTTTGACATTTCCGGGCAAAATGTTTCAAAAGTCCACACATATTTTTGATTTCTTTTTAGCTTATTGTTAAACACAAAATAATGCGTTAATAAAGTAAATTTTGAGGTATGTTGTTCAAAATTAAAAAAAAAAAAAACTTTTAAAGAATTAAAATTCAAAATTAAAAATTGTTTTTTTTAATCAAGTTATATTCAATTGAAAAAAATCTCAACAATTTTAAAGCATTTTTCAATTTTTCTTTTCTTTTTTACATCTCAAAAGGGACGTCAGTTTACAGAATATATCAGAGTCAGTATTTAAGGTACTGTGCCATATTGTGGGGACTTCGCAAAGAGTTGCCATGAGAAGAGATGTTGCAGATTTCAGGGACATGATGGAAAAGTCACCTTTATTGGATATTCCGACCATTCAAATGACCACTGGAAGTCGCAGAGAAGGATTCCAATTCATGGGATCAGATACGGACGTGATGATTTGGTCAGAAGACGTCAAAGTTATCTGGGACATGAAGCAGGCTTTTAATTACGACAAAGGTAAACATACATTGATTCTCTCATACAGCTCTGAAAGCCCACCAGGATACACGTTACTTGTTTTAATGGAATGTGTGTATAGAGCATGTATCAGTATGACTACCATACCTTTCATATCTAGTTCTACACTCAGACGAAAACTGTTCTCTGACATATTACCAGATTTTACAGAACATGGACCATGTAGTAGAGGTTATATGAACCGTATGGAATATGACGTTGCTCAGTGCTTTGCCTGTGACATTTGGCCTCCATCAGCCTCTCAATGGATAGCCAGATCTCACGACTGGCCGGGATCTCAATTAGTCAATGAAATTGTAAAAGGTGGATGTCACTTTGTACCAATAGGACACAAACAAGGGAATTTTGAGTTCGACGAATGGAGAATCTCTTTTTCTCTTGCAGAACAGAAACTTGTGTACTCTATGAATCACTGTCAGTTTTTAACATACGGCTTGCTCAAATTGTTCCTAAAAGAAGTTATTAACGATGGTTTAAGTACTGAGGATAAATTACTGTGCTCATATCACATGAAAACAGCAGTTTTGTGGGTGCTCCAGCAAAACACAATTCGTGACTGGCGTCCTCAAAATTTGTTGGAGGGTTTTAGGGTCTGCTTTAAGTTTATCCTAAAATGTGTATATGAAGGAGTTTGTCCTAACTTTTTCATTCCAGAAAACAACATGTTTTTGAGTAATATACATGGAAAAGCACAAAATGATTTATTTACTAGGCTATATGCGTTGTACGAAAGAGGGCTTGCATCCCTGCTAGACAGTTCCTTCATCAGACCGTATCTGTTTCAAGAACTGAATAACCATGGTCAAAATACTTGCACAGATGAACCAATTTTGATCTCTGAGATAGTAACAACATTCCAAGAATTGGGAATATGTAATTTATTATGTAAAGACAATCTCCACGATTGCATACAAACCTTACAAAGACTTGAACAATTGATAAATAGGCCACTGACACAGTATCAACTCGCCCTTTTACAAAACATGGTAACCACTGTTTTTCAGAGCACTGCGTTTTTATTACACAAAGAGTACTTTAACAAAAGTAGAAGAAATAAACTAACATATACGGCTGACAAAATATCAAGGTTCATTCTGAAATTAGTATTTAGTTTTGGTGAGGTTTCAGAAGGGTTGTTTTTATCCATGTATTTTTACAGAACT